TTTCCTACTCCCCTGGGGGCCCAGCAGAATCATGGGGCCTGGAGCCTGGGGCTCTGGGAGGGAGAGTTGGGGTTCTCTGGAAGCCTCTTAAACTTCCCCTGAGCTCACACAGAACATCTCTGGGTGGACTATGCAAGTCGGCCCGCGGCTACATGCTGGGGATGGGCCACCCTTCACCCACGGACACAGAGATTCCCAACGCCATTGGCCCCTCCTCGTGCCGGCCCAGCAGAGGCCCAGAGAGGGCCCCCCTTTCTCTTCTGAATCTTGTCTCCTTGCAGCTGTTTTCCCAGGTGGGAGCTTCAGCCTGTATTAGCCCTTCCAAAGATTTTATTTGTTTCCTTGGCATGCACTCATTCATTCATCCCCTCATTTCTTCATTCACTCACCTACTCATTGATTTCCTCATCCATGTGTTCATTTTTCTTCATTTAATAGCCAAGTTCATTCCATAACTCTACCTATTCACTCCACCTTTTGTTAACAAACAGGTCTTGAGTGAATAGAAGAAATATCCTTTGAGTGATGAATGAGTGAATGGAATGGCCAGGACCTATTAAAGGTTGCAGAAGGCCCTGCGGCTGCACAGGTGAATAGGGCACCTTCCTAAACCTTGGGGAGCTCATCATCTAGGCCAGGGGTGGGCAAACTTTTTGACTCGAGGGCCACAATGGGTTCTTAAACTGGACCGGAGGGCCGGAACAAAAGCATGGATGGAGTGTTTGTGTGAACTAATATAAATTCAAAGTAAACATCATTACATAAAAGGGCACGGTCTTTTTTTTTTTTAGTTTTATTCATTTCAAACGGGCCGGATCTGGCCCGCGGGCCGTAGTTTGCCCACGGCTGATCTAGGCACAATGGGTGATGCGTGTCAGAGACCTTAAGGCAGTGTGCTCTGCACAATCAGGAGGCATTAAGACAATGGCTTGTGCCAGATGATGATTGGGCAGGAGGGGATAGGAAACAGCAGACAGAAGGGGCAGTGAGCACAGAGCATGGCCGTGTGATTCAGCTTACAGTAATGCAGTCAATTTAAACGAAAGTTCAAGGTTGGTGATGGTGCTGCAGGGAGCAAGGAGCAGGAGAATGAGGCAGAGTTAAGGCTGGGGCGCTCTGGGATTGGACACGGGCCGTTCCACAGGTTGGTGCCCTGGTGAGCATGGTTAGCACCTCTACCTCATGTACTTTCTCTCCTCATGACCTTGAAAGAGGGAGAGGATACATAGCTTGTTCTCAGGCAGATGGACCCCTGGGCAGAAACCACCCACGGTTCTCTGTTTCCAAGGGGTGGAGTCCAAACATAAGCTGACATTTAAGGCCCCACACCTTATTGGCCTTACCAGCTCAATCTTCCCCCATTTTCTTTCTTGGGTCACAAGGCTGGTGGGGGTGGGGTGGGGACTCTCTGCTGCTAAATATACGTCCTTGCATTTGCACATGGCCTTTGGCCTTTTAGAAATGTCCTCCCATCCCTGTGCTGCCTGTGATGTTATGCATCCTTTAAGACTTATTTCCATATATCACCTCCTCTATGAAGCCTTCCCTGCTTACCCTTGCACAACCGGTGACTGTCCCCGTGTACTCACAGCACTGTGACCGAGCACAGTCACACTGACATGGCTGGCTGCTCACACCACTGTCTTTTCTTCACCGGCTCTGTGGGACCAGATACTGGCTCGCTTTACTTTGGGGCCCCACAGAGCTGGGAACAGAATGGGCACTAAGAGGTGGTCCTTGAATTCAGAGGCAGTTCTGAGGTTTCTACAGAGCTGGACTCCCATTAGAACCTTGGACACAGAATGGGGTTTGCAGGAAGGCCTGTGTCTGCAAGCTGCGTTCGCCTCCACGGTGCAGAAGATGGAGGAACTGAGTATTGTTTATTTTAAAGACTCTAGGGAGGCACAGGTCAAAGCATCCCCATGCCAGCTTCTTGGTACCTTCATTGCTGGAATGAATGGAACGGATGATGAGGAAGGGAGGGAGGGAGGGAGGGAGGGAGGGAGGAAGGTAGGAAGGAAGGAAGGAAGGAAGGATGGAAGGAAGGAAGGAAGGAAGGAAGGAAGGAAGGAAGGATACTATTTTGTATCTTGAATAGGATCTTCTTCCTCTAAAATGAGAATACAGTTACTTAATTGAGATCATATGATAATTTAATGCAATGGTTCCTGTGAAAATACTCAACATATAGTAAAGCAATCAATATTACTTAACTATTCCGGTTATGTTTTGATTAAGAGTACAAAAAAAGGAAGAGGGGGAAGAGTGAAGAACTTGGATTTCATCTAGCACTGTATGGAAGATTGGGAAAGTACAGGAGGGAGAGTTTTAAAACGGGTGATAGTGAGCCCTAACCAGTTTGGCTCAGTGGATAGAGTGTTGGCTCATGGACTGAAGGGTCCTGGGTTTGATTCCGGTCAAGGACATGTACCTTGGTTGTAAGCTCGATGCCCAGGAGGGGTCATGCAGGAGGCAGCTGATTGATGTTTCTCCCTCATCGATGTTTCTAACTCTCTATCTCTTCCCCTTCCTCTCTGTAAAAGCAATAAAAATATATTATAAATAAATAAATAGATGTGATGATAGTGGAAAGCTACAAATTTCTCTCATCATTTCAAAAAGGACCAATTCTAGGTGTTAATAACTTGTGTTAATGCATTCTTCAAGGACAACATACCTGTTCCCCACCAAATTTCTGGGATTTGGTGCTTTTAATATACTTTGTCCAGTAGAGTATGGTAGACAGAATAATGACCCACAAAAATTGTACATGTCCTGATTTCTAGAATTCATAAGTATGTTACCTTACATGGCAAAGGGACTTTGCAGGTGTAATAAAGATTATGAATCTTGAAATAGGGAAATTATCCTAGTTTATCTGACTAAGACCCATCTCACCATGTAGCCCTTAAAAGTGGAAGAGGAAGGCAGAGGGTCAGTCAGAGAGATGTGGCCAAGTAAGAAAGAGGAAAGAGTCAGAGCCTGAGAAATACTCAACCTACTATTGCTGGCTTTGGAGATGGAGGAAGGAGGCTATGAGCCAAGGAATGCAGGCAGCCTCTAGAACAGGGGTGGGCAAACTTTTTGACTTGAGGGCCACAATGGGTTCTTAAACTGGACCGGAGGGCCGGAACAAAAGCATGGATGGAGTGTTTGTGTGAACTAATATAAATTCAAAGTAAACATCATTACATAAAAGGGCACGGTCTTTTTTTTTTTTAGTTTTATTCATTTCAAACGGGCCGGATCCGACCCACGGGCCGTAGTTTGCCCACAGCTGATCTAGGCACAACGGGTGATGCGTGTCAGAGACCTTAAGGCAGTGTGCTCTGCACAATCAGGAGGCATTAAGACAATGGCTTGTGCCAGATGATGATTGTGGGCAGGAGGGGATAGGAAACAGCAGACAGAAGGGGCAGTGAGCACAGAGCATGGCCGTGTGATTCAGCTTACAGTAATGCAGTCAATTTAAACGAAAGTTCAAGGTTGGTGATGGTGCTGCAGGGAGCAAGGAGCAGGAGAATGAGGCAGAGTTAAGGCTGGGGCGCTCTGGGATTGGACACGGGCCGTTCCACAGGTTGGTGCCCTGGTGAGCATGGTTAGCACCTCTACCTCATGTACTTTCTCTCCTCATGACCTTGAAAGAGGGAGAGGATACATAGCTTGTTCTCAGGCAGATGGACCCCTGGGCAGAAACCACCCACGGTTCTCTGTTTCCAAGGGGTGGAGTCCAAACATAAGCTGACATTTAAGGCCCCACACCTTATTGGCCTTACCAGCTCAATCTTCCCCCATTTTCTTTCTTGGGTCACAAGGCTGGTGGGGGTGGGGTGGGGACTCTCTGCTGCTAAATATACGTCCTTGCATTTGCACATGGCCTTTGGCCTTTTAGAAATGTCCTCCCATCCCTGTGCTGCCTGTGATGTTATGCATCCTTTAAGACTTATTTCCATATATCACCTCCTCTATGAAGCCTTCCCTGCTTACCCTTGCACAACCGGTGACTGTCCCCGTGTACTCACAGCACTGTGACCGAGCACAGTCACACTGACATGGCTGGCTGCTCACACCACTGTCTTTTCTTCACCGGCTCTGTGGGACCAGATACTGGCTCGCTTTACTTTGGGGCCCCACAGAGCTGGGAACAGAATGGGCACTAAGAGGTGGTCCTTGAATTCAGAGGCAGTTCTGAGGTTTCTACAGAGCTGGACTCCCATTAGAACCTTGGACACAGAATGGGGTTTGCAGGAAGGCCTGTGTCTGCAAGCTGCGTTCGCCTCCACGGTGCAGAAGATGGAGGAACTGAGTATTGTTTATTTTAAAGACTCTAGGGAGGCACAGGTCAAAGCATCCCCATGCCAGCTTCTTGGTACCTTCATTGCTGGAATGAATGGAACGGATGATGAGGAAGGGAGGGAGGGAGGGAGGGAGGGAGGGAGGAAGGAAGGAAGGAAGGAAGGAAGGAAGGAAGGAAGGAAGGAAGGAAGGAAGGGGCAAGAGAAAGCTTCCCAGCTGGGCCCAGGCAGCGCCGTGAGCAAATAGCAGAGGCCTGGCATGGGATGTTCTCTCACTGCCTGAGAGGAAGCAAGCTCTGGTGTGTCCCTGCCTCCTCACAAACAGTCCCGGACCCGTGCTCTCACTCATCGTATGGGCTGGGGTGCACTGGGGCCCCTGCCTTCTCAGTTAATAAAAACAACCAACAAAACAAATCTCTCTGATTGAAATCTCTGCAGGGACACGGAGCCAGGACTTAGGGAGCCTGGGAGTTAGGCTCTCTGAGAAGCTTTGGCCAGTTCAGACATGGAAAGGGGTTTGCAGAAAGGGTCCACACTGAGCCCTCCTCAGTTTCCCCGTCTGTAGAATGGAGGTATTACCAGTGGAGGTATTACCAATGCAGTCGGTGCCACCAGTATTAACAAATTGCTCTGGTTTCCTTTTTTCCTTGAGAAGCTTCGGTGGAGGGTGGTGTCTTGGTCTGACTGTGTTTCCATGGTGCTCAGGGCCGGGGGAGCAACGTCATCCACTGCCGGAAAGACGGGACCTGGAGTGGCTCCTTCCACCTCTGCCGGGAGATGCAAGGCCAGTGCTCGGCCCCGAACCAGCTCAACAGCAACCTCAAACTGCAGTGTCCTGAAGGCCACGCCATAGGTAGGACGGGTGCATGCGGGCAGTGTGGGAGGGGTGAGAGCTCCGGAGAGCCCAGGCTGGTGCCTCACTGGGTAGCTGGGTGCCTCTGCCCTGTGGGGCCCTGTGGGGCCCTGTGGGAGGCCCTGGGGAAAGGGAGCCGGATGCAACCAGGCTCCTTCCTCCTGGAGAGAGTTGGGGCGGGGATGCGGTGGTGGGGGAGTGTGTATAGCAGGCTCACCTACACAGGGCTCTGAAAGAGCTTGTTGGGCACGAAATGATATTCCAGACAGAGGAACCATGTGGCAGGGGGAGGGAGATGAGAAGGCAATCGTGGTTCAGTGTGGCTGCCTTTATTATTAATCTTAACATTTGCATAAGTAATCACTCATGAGCATCTACTTGGGCCAGCACTTAGAGGCGTTATGTCCTGTCCTCTCAGTAACCTTCAACAACTGAGCAAATGGAGACTTAAAGGGAGAACAGAACCTGCTCCAAAGCCCGAGTTCTTTCCATGGCGTCTCGGTTGCCTCCGAAATGAGGATAAACAAATAGCAGCTTCAAAATACCATTTGCGAGGTGATAGGCCAGTTTGCAAAGTGCTCTCAGCGAGGGAGGCAACCTGGGCTTTGATGCCAGGCATTGGCCTGGTGGGAACCAGGAGTCTGGACAGACACATTAATCACCGTCCCGAGGCTTTCTGGGGAACGGGGTGTGCATGGAGCCGGAGCTCAGCCGAGGACAGTGCTGCTGACCTTTTGGGCGGATTCCCTAATTGACCATGATGAAAAGCCCAGGGAATTGAATGTCCTTTCTCATGGCCAGTGTGATTTATGGGACAATCACCCGGCATGTCTGGAGCAGAAGGTTATCTGTGCACACACTCCCTCCCCAGCACGCAGAGCCAGCCTGTTCTGCACCCAGCAAGATGAGTGACCACTTCCTGAGAGCAGGGGTGGGCAGGGCCTGAGCACCCTGCTGGAGATGGACGCAGCCTCAGAGCCCAGAAGTCTGCACCTAAACCTAGAGGAGAAACCAGCGCTCCTTCCTATATTCAGCCCTACTCCTGCACGGTTGCCCTCTGAGACAATTCAGAAGGCACTTTAAGATCCTACAGAGCCATGGTCCAAAGGGCCTTGACACGAGGCTTGCACAGAGGTGGGATCTCATAGGGCTTGCCAATGTGGACATTCTAGAATGTGGGGCAACAGGTGAGCAACAGCGAGCCTGTTGGCTGCTCCTTCCCAAGGCCAGTGCTCCTCCCGTCACTGCTGACGGATGTGCACAGCTCTGGACCCTACGTCTGTGATGGCGTCCCTACTCCCAGCTTAGGACATGCAGTGAACATTCAGTCACACTCACGACTGGCAGTAAGCAAAACACTGATTGAGTTACTTTATTTTTTTTAAAAAAAACAAACCTATGAAAACAGACTTTATGTCTACACCCACTGGCGCATTCAAATATATTCATACACGCATAAATAAACACAAGCACACATGTTTGGGAATGAAACGTAGACCCAAACACACACATCCTTCAGTAAACTCATGCCCAGCACGTACACATCAGCCAAATGCCACATGAACACAGCACCCACACAAACACATCCACAGAGGCACACGGAGCTCAAGCTCACACGTGACACATCAGAACACACACACATTACAGGCACAACCACCTCTTAGGCCCCAAACGTATCAAACACACAGAAAGATGCACAAAAGGCAAACAGAGCTCACACCACCATGCACACCGATACATCTCCTGCCCACCTTGTGCATATGCTGCATTCCCATATCACAGCCACACGCAAATGAGCCGCAGGGCCTGGCTCTGCTGCCCTCAGCACAGTCTAGCGGTGGGCGGAGGTGGCAGCAGCATCCCCTTCACCCATGAGCTTCCTCATGATCAGAGCCGAAAGGGAAGGAAGTCTGCCTGACCTTGGAACCTGAATCTCCTTCCCTCCCCTGCAGCCCATGCTCCCACTGCCACGCAGATGCCCTTGATGAATGGGTCAGTCACCCAGGGAGGTGGGGGCACACAGGGGAGCCTAGCCAGGAGAAGCAACGGGGGACACTGAGTGAGAAGGAAGAGGGAGGGCAGGGTCCCTGCTGGACACCCAGCTCCTCTCCCTCCTCACCTCCTGGGGACTAGCTCCCTCTCCCTCCTCACCTCTGAAGGCCCCTCAGACATCATCCATCCCAGGTGGAGCCCCTCCCTGGGGAGAGCCCACCTCTCTAAGGAGAGGGACTTCATCAAAAGCCTTGTAAAGGGGTGAGGTCTGTGTGGGACTTGGGGGCTGGAGGGCACATCTGGGGCCGCCCAGAGCCAGCCCCCCCCAGCAGGACAGGGAGGCTCTGGCAGTGAGGAGCTCTCATGGCTACTGCCACCAAAGCTGCCACCTCCCTGCTCCTTGGGGAAGGAGAGGCAGGCAGGGGCCTGGTGAGATCACTGCTCTGTGATGATGCCAATTAGGGCTCATATATCACAACACAGCAGCCTGGTCTCCAAGCCCAGAGTTGCCCAGGCGTGGGGGAGGGGAGCGCAGAGGAGAGAGCACAGAGAAGAGGAAGTAAGACAGGCAGCAGCACAGGGCGGCCACTGCCTCCTGTGTTGACCAGAATTTTTCCTTTCTCCCCTCTTGGGATAAGACAGCTTTGGTCTGTGTCTCAGAGGCTGCCCCTTCTTTTTTGAGAAGCATTTTATCCTGGAAGCCTGGCGTCGTCCTTGCTCTCTAGAAACTCCAGGATGGATCTCATGACACCCATCCAGCTCTGAGCTTCCCCCACTGCCCAGCCAGTGTCCCCTTTATTCTCATCACTCGTCTTTGACTGTTCGCATTCCCCCCATTGCTTTCTTCTCCTCTGGCCCTTCACCCGCCTCTGTCCCCTTCCACTGCCTCCCTTCCTCTTCCTCTGTGAGGCTCCATTATTTCCATCGCTGGGCTTGGAAGTCAGAGAGACAGCGGTTCTCATTCATGGTCCTGAACCGCCAGCTCTGTAACCTGAGCTCTGGGCACCCGTGAAAGGGGCGTGAGGGCACCTCTCTTAGGGGCTGGATGTGCACAAGGAGCAACCTCTGAAAGGCACCCGCAAGGCAGGTCACTCCCCCTTCTGGGCTCAGCATCCTGGTGCGTAAAGTGAGGAGATTCTAACCCAGCCGTGGGCAAACTACGGCCCGCGGGCCGGATCCGGCCCGTTTGAAATGAATAAAACTAAAAAAAAAAAAAGACCGTACCCTTTTATGTAATGATGTTTACTTTGAATTTATATTAGTTCACACAAACACTCCATCCATGCTTTTGTTTCGGCCCTCCGGTCCAGTTTAAGAACCCATTGTGGCCCTCAAGTCAAAAAGTTTGCCCACCCCTGTTCTAACCTGTCCTGCACCTGCCACCCACCCTCGCCTCTTCTTCACTCCCCCATGCCTCTTCCACTGAAGAGAGGACAAACTGCAACAGGAGTTCACGAGATAAACTATGCATGCACGAGAAGTGTGTGTGTGTATGCACACACGTCCATATGTATGTGTGTATGCATGTGTACAGGGTGGGACAAGTAGGGTTTCGTTTTTTAATATATTTATTATTGATTTCAGAGAGGAAGGGAGAGGGAGAGAGATAGAAACATCAACGAAGAGAGAAAATCATTGATTGGCTGCCTCCTGCATGCTCCCTACTGGGGATCAAGCCCACAACCCAGGCATGTGCCCTGACTGGGAATCGAACTGTAACCATCTGGTTTATAGGTTGACAATCACTGAGCCATGATGGACTTGAAACACAGAGTTTATTCTTGTATTATCATCTATTAACTAGAGGCCTGGTGCACAGAATTCATGCACGGGTAGGGTCCCTAGGCCTGGCTGGCAATCAGGGCCATTCAGAGCTGCCAGCCGGGGCCTTCCTTCATTCCACGCCGCCCCCTCGTGGTCAGCACACGTCATAGTGAGTGATCGAACTCCCAGTCTCCCGCTCAAACTCCCGAGGGGACACTTTGCATATTAGCCTTTTATATATACAGTTATTTTATTATTTTCCATATGAACAACTTTAAACCTACTTTTGCCCCACCCTGTATGTATATAAATACACACACATTTGGAAGGGAGGCTTTAGAACGGCTAATAGAATTTTATATATATAATATATATATGTATGTATTTTTATACACTTTTATATATTTATATATTTTAAAGAATTGTCTGTCTCTTGTGAATGCATGGTGTTCTGGTGTTCAGGGTGGTCTTGGCGCCCAGGTTGGGAAAGGCCTCCTTAGGGCCCTGGTCGGATCCTCACCCCCACTCTTTGCCCACATGAGTAAGCACCTTTTTGGAGGCCTGGGGACATGTCCTGGGATAGGATTGATTTTCAAGAGACGTCAGAATGTGTGAGGTCAGGCCAGAGCATGAATGAGCCAAATTAGAGCCAGCTTGCCATCCCACAGCTAGACAGCTAATCATCTTCAAGGAGAAATCCCTGGACCGAAGGCTTCAGTCCCCGTTGGTCATCCATGCCTTCATTTTTTTCAGTTCTTTGTATTACTTTCCATGTATTCGGTCATTTATTCATTCATGCACCAACTCACACACTCACTTCCTTCTTCATAAGATACCTAAGCCCCTATTCCTCATTCACTCCTTGTGTCATGCATTCATTCACTTACTCATTTCTTCTCCATCTATGCGCTCATTGCCTCAGCGTCTCTTTCATTCATGTCATAAGTCCTTATCGAGTGGCTGCCATCTGCCATGCACAGTGTGCTGACCTTGAGGAGCTACAATCCCATAGGGTAGAGAGATACTGACAGATGTTAAAAGTCACCAAGCCAACCGGAAGGGGTAGTGACAAATGCGGGTGCTGTGAGGGGGGTTGGCCAGTCAGGAAAGCACAGAGGTCTCCTCTAAGCAGGCTGGGGGTATGAAGGGTCCTGGTAAGGCACCATTTGAAGAAGAGTAGAAGGCATGAATGCAAGTCCTGTGCCAAGAAAAAGCCTGGGGCTGCAATCACCGCTCACTCGGCTGGTGCTTATTAGCAATCCCTGTGTGTCAAGCAGCAGGTTAGGCTCAGGGATGAACCTACCTTGTCCCTGCCCTCTCGGGGCATCTCTGTAACTGTGGAAGGGAGACACAGGGGGTAGGGCCAACCCTGGAGTGAGACTCCTCACTGCTGAACACTGCTCCCTCTGCTGCACACATGGGGCGGGCTTCTTGGAGGACATGACCTTGGCCTTGAAGTCAGTAGGACTTGACTGTGAGAAGGCAGATGGCGGGATGATTCAGGGGGAGAGAATGAGAGCAGGACAGAGGAAAGGATGTGTGGGGCTCAGAGGGAAAGCCAGGCGCAGGTCAGTTGAACTAAACAAAAGTGTGAAGGTAGTTAGTGGGAGATGAGACCATGAAGGCCGGGGAAGGGGGTTGGACCTTGCCCTGGATATGGGGAACCTTGGAAAGGTCTTCAAGCAAAGGAGGAACAAGACCAAACTGGGCTCGGGGCCGATGCAAATGGCAGTGGGTGCCAGCTGGACTGGAGACCAGGGGCAGCCCTGCTGGGGAGTTCCCTCCCTCGGCAGTGGGTGCCAGCTGGACTGGAGACGAGAGAACAGTCAGGGAGACCAGGGGCAGCCCTGCTGGGGAGTTCCCTCCCTCCCACTGCCCTCAGGGTGGGCAGCCCAGTCACTGGGGGCCAGAGAGCGGCAGGGCCCACACTGGGGAGAGCAGCCTTGGGCATTAGGAGATTGGGGCTAAGTGGCCAGCTCACACTCTGCTTCCCACAGGGTCCGAGTGTGCCACCTCCTGCCTGGACCACAACAGTGAGCCCATTATCCTGCCCACGAACGTGACTGTCCGTGACATCCCTCACTGGCTGAACCCCACGCGGGTGCAGGTAAGTGACAAGGGCTGCCTACCTGGGCCTAAGGGGAGGAAAATGCCCTTGTCGAACATTTGCGTTGCCTGGGTGCTGCACTCATCGCTTTACCTGCGTTACACTGTCACATGGCCACACCTCTCTGTGACAATCACTCTCCAGTCCTTAAATATTTAATACTCTGTTGGGTACTGTGCTTAGGACCTATGCTTTCCTGTCCCACTGAATCGGATGACAGCCTAGGGGACTGATGTTTCTGGTTACAGAAGAGGAAACCTGGACACAAACGCATGAGTAGAGAGCACAGAGTCGGGTCACACGCGCACTCATGAGAGAGGTGCTGTCGGGCTTCTCAGTGTGAGCTCTTGGAAGCCTTCTACATGCCACAGCCTAGATTTCTGGCATCTTCCCCGTGCTTTCCTCATTTGGTGGAAAGCAATTAATATGCGACATGGGGAACCAGTAACACCTACAGTTTGTGAAGCACTTACTATGTTCATGTGCCCAGTCCTGGCACACAGACTGCATTTAAACCTTGGAATGGTTTTGTGGTGCAGGGTGGGCAGCACTCTCTGCCTTCTCAGCTGTGGACTCTGAGATCTCCGGAGTGACAGCTCGAACCCAAGCCTGAGCCACATGCCCTGCTCTACTCAAGGCGCCAGGCTGGCTTGCCCAGCCAGACCGTGGAAGCCCCACCTCCTGACAGCCAATGGCATTGCCCATTTCATTTGGGGGCTGGCCACCCCCACTTCCTTTATGTGATCAGTCAGGGGCCCTCAGAGCTGATGTGGGGGCCGCTCTTGTCCTCCAGGGCAGCACGCATTCCAGGCCACAGGAACCGGCTCTGGGCACTGCCCTTCCCCTGAAGAAAGTGGGAGGCAGAGGCTCTGGGGTGCAGGGCTGAGGTTCAGCTCTGTCTCTGGCCCAGCCTCCTGCCTGGGTGCTGGGAGGCCTCCGGTCTGCCCACCTGCAGATCGTGCCCCAGATAGCTGGGAAGAACCCGATACCAGGTGTCCTGTTTCTCAAATGAGAGGAGGGCAGGATTGTGCGGGCTTACTCAGCACTCTGGGCCTATGGACCTGGCCAGCCCCCCTCTGCTGCCCCATGCCCCCCAGCATTGTCCTCCCCCCCTTCCCCTCCTCTTCCTCTTCTGCTGCTCTCTGTGCCATCTCCAACTTTATCTCCCTTTCCTGCCTGTTTTCCCTGTGTCTCTCTTCCCTCTCCTGACAGGACTGTTACCTCACTCTGCCTCCCCCGCCCTCTTTCCCTCCATGTCCACCCCCTCTGTCTCCCTGGTCTCTGTCTTCCTGCTCTGACTCTCCCACGCACCCACCAGGCAGCCCTGTTTCCCTCAGCTCGCACTCCTCCAGCCCTTTTCTCCACTGGCCATGCTTTTCGCCATCCCTCACCCAGAGTCACACAGGAGCAGAGCCTGGACCATGATCTCAGCTCCTTCCCTCCGTGCCTCCCTCTCGCTCCTACCCTGACTCCCACACACCCACAGGCAGGGACATACTCCCACACAGTGCAGACCCAGGGGACCACTCACACCTGGGACTGCGGGGCTCCTTTCCCTGGCCCAGACCATGGTGCCTTGGCCCAGCTTCCACTCAGGCCTTTGCTCCGCACCCTCCCCACCCCAGGTGAATTCCCACCCCTCCCTCTGAGAGCCCGAGGCACTAAAGAGTTCAGTTATAATTCACTGTGAAATAAATCCAGGGATTTGAAAGCCTGCAAGCCCCCTCCCCATTTGCCCACCCGCTGCCTGCCTGCCCCAGCCCCCACCCGGTTCCCTGGTCGGCCGGCCTTTATTGATGCCGGCCTACCAAGAGAGCCATAACGAGGTTCAGACCTCCACCGGTCTCCGGAGGCCTCATTATCCAGGAGGAAAAAAATGTGGTAGAAAAAGGGAGGAGGGTGAAGGGCAGAGATTGATGATTTCCAGGAATACGGCAGAAAGCTGGCCTCCGCTGCACACTTGCCCCTTGTGTGGCGAGAGCTGCAGAAATAGAGCTGCTGGTGCGGGAGGCACCAGGCCGGAGCAGGCCCTGGACAGCTCTGCCTTCTGCGGGTCTGCCTCCCAGGACCAGCGTGAGGTAGATGGTCGGGGCAAGGGTCTACCCCCACTCCTGTCACCTTTGTCCCAGGGTAAGAAAGTGAGAGGCGAGAACTGAGAGTTCATGGACGCCTACTGTGCATCAGGCATTGGGTCACTTATTTTCACCTCAAACTCCAACTCACACACACATATGCACACACACTCCCCTATGAGGTAGGTAGTAGTCTCTGTTTTTCCAGTGGAGGAAATGGAGTCTCAGAGATGGAAGCCTCATGCCTAAGAGGAAGTGAACGGGGACCCATGTCAGTTTGATGCTGCAGCTTATTCAAGCTACCCATGCAGCCTATTTTGAATATACAGTATTAATAAAGGCAAAATGTTTACTGACCTCTTACCAGGGATATGCTGGTAAACGGTTAGCAACGCCCCCTTACCCTGCCCCCCCGAAATGAACTCTGATTTGTAGCATTTGCCACTTACTGTGGTGTAAATATTCCCACCGTGGCAAATATCAAGTTTTCCAAGTTACCGTCACTGCACACAAAGTTAGGAAGAGAGAAACCTCACTGTTGCCTCTTGTGAGCCCAGGCAGGCCAGTTGCAGCCCGCCACTTGTGCTCAGTACATGACGGGCTCAGTTCTAAGCACCCACTGGCATATAAGGAGAGAATGAGGACTACTTAGATGAGTACAGTATCACCACTGACATCATGTGCTACCACAACAGTGACCTTTGTGAAGGTAGGCCCGTGGTCATCTTATTTACCATGATACGCCCCGCAGTGCCTAGCTCACAGTAGGTGCTCACTAAATATTTATGGTTGCTGAGTGAGGTGACCAAGGCCTAGTTCAAGCCCAGAGAGAACCTTCTTGCTATATGTCCTTGGACAAATTGTATCACTTTTTAGGCCACGGTCTCCCCATCTGTGAAATGAGAGAGGCTGAGATCAAAGAGCCACAAACTCAAACATATGCGGGATCCAGGCAGGTGGGCTGAATGGGTGAAGCAGGCCAAACACCATTTTTTTTATGTTGAATACCTATGTACTAGTATATGTTTCATAATAGCAGTAGTATTTACTATAAATATTTCAGACTTAGAGGAAATATAGCAGACCTTCACGTACATACTACCCAACTTAACAAAGAGGACTTTCAGATACAGTTGAGGTTCTTTACTCCTAATTGAGCTATAACTTACATGGTATCTTAGGCATACGGCATGGTAAGTGTTTATATTTGTGTCCACTCATGAAACCAGTACCCAAGTCGGGGTGGGGACATTTCCAGCTCCCCAGAGTCCTCCCCTCTCCATGCCAGGCAGTGCCCCTACCACCAAGGTAATCCCTGTTGGTTTTATTTATTTTTTAATTGGTATATAATTGGCATATAAGATTATGTTAGTTTCAGTTGTACTAAAATATTTTAGTTTGACTTTCTTTAAGAACAAAACACTCTATCCCTTTATTTTTTTAAAGTACTCCCCGTGGGAGTTCCTCCCAGACTCCCCTCTCCTCTCCCTACCCCGCACACACAGGTACATACACATGCACTTTGAAAGTAATAGGGAAACTAAGAAATCTTCTTCCAACCTAATAAATGAGACAATACAATACAAAACTCGAGGACAGATAGAACTGTCGTTCAGGCTGAATGCTGGAGAGACTACAGGGAATGGTGGGGACTGTGGTGAACTGAGGATACCAGGCTGCTTCCAAAGGGGGCGGCTCTAGCCAAGTGTGGCCAGGTGGAAATACGGGCTTGGGGTGGCCAGATTTTCCATTTTTTCTTGAGTCTTTAAAATATGAAATCTCTCGGGGTTTTTTACATATTGGCAAATAATTTTGACTTCTGTTAGGGACTTCATGTGCCAAACCAAACGTTTCTGTGGGTTGTGTAGCCTGGAAGCTGTTGGCTCGCAACCTCTGAATGAGATAGACTCTCTGGCCCCGGGTACCTAGAATTCAGGGTTCAGGCTCTGCCGCCAGCTCCTCAGGAGCACCTCCTGTCTGCCCAGCACTTCCTCTCGCCCAGAGGAGCTGGAGTTTCCCCGAGAGAAAATGCTTCTCACAACCTCAGCTGCTTATAATCCCTCTAGGTCAGTGGTTCTCAACCTTGGCTGCACATTAGAATCACCTGGGAATCTTTTTAAAATCCTGATTTCTGGGCTTCATCCTCCGGAAATTCTGTTTCTTTGTTACTAATGTTGTGGCCCCACCCCATAACAAAGAAACAGAATTTCCGGAGGATGAGGCCCAGAAATCAGGATTTTAAAAAGATTCCCAGGTGATTCTAATGTGCAGCCAAGGTTGAGAACCACTGCTCTAGGTCTATGGGGCCTTGGATTTTTTAATGGCTTCTGAGAAAAGGGTGGAAGGAGGAAAGAGAGGGAAAGAGGAAGATAGGGCCAGAGGGAGGGAATTAAGGACAGAAAAAAGAAATCAGCATTTATTGAATATCTATGATATGTAGGCACTGCTTATTAGGCAATTTCATATGTGCCAACTCATTTTGTCTCCATCACACGCCAGTGAGATACATATTATCACCATTTAATAGATGAAGACGCTGAAGCTCTGAGAAATTGCCATTGCGCCATTCATGTAACTAATGTGTCTGAATCAGAATTTGAACCCAAGGCTAATTCTCCTGTATCCGTCCTGCAAGGCAACCACCTTGTTATGTGTACGTTTATGATTTATGTTATAAATGCAACCCTTGCAACAAACGATACAGAATTCATTCCTTGAAGAGAAGACAGCACCTTGGAAAATCCTGCCAGGTGTCCAAAGGTCAGAGGTGGAATGGTTCAGAGTGCATATCAATGTATAGAAGGGCTATCCTGAGCCGTGGAGGGGAAGCCCATAGTTGGAGAGATGTGTCCAGACTCCAGCGATTCCTGATTCACTCATAGACATAATGATACAGTCACTCATCTGCTCATTTGTTCATTCACTCGT